CCCCACCCCGGTGCCTTTGCGCCGCCCCCCAGGGGCGCTGCCACGTCACAAGACGAGAGCAGGCCCCGGAACAGGGCCCCGTGCTCAGCCGGACGCTCCCAGCCCTGCACCCCCCGCCCCTTGGGCACTGGGCCGTGTGCCCCGGCTCTCACCTTCCACCAGCAGGAAGAACCCTCGGGGGTTTCTCTGGAGGATTTTGAGGGCCACCTGCACCATCTCCGTCAGGGACGGGTCTGTCTCAGCGTCCCTGTCCAGCTCGTACATCATGTCCATAGCCCTGCACCCCCCGCCCCTTGGGCACTGGGCCGTGTGCCCCGGCTCTCACCTTCCACCAGCAGGAAGAACCCTCGGGGGTTTCTCTGGAGGATTTTGAGGGCCACCTGCACCATCTCCGTCAGGGACGGGTCTGTCTCAGCGTCCCTGTCCAGCTCGTACATCATGTCCATGGGCTCGAAGAGGCCTGCGAAGGGAGAGGGCGGGTCAGCCGTGCCGCAGCTTCCGGGGGCCTTGTCACACCGGGGGACGCCCCAGAGACTCCAGATTGAAGAGGCCAGGGTGGACCGGACCGGCCGCCAAGCTGTTCCTGGCACAGTGAGCCCTGTGAGCCCTGCCGGGCAGCCAGCCTGGGACCTCGGCCAGGCCGCGTCGCCGGTGGCAGGTGGCCCAGAGGTCGGCAGGGGCTTTGCAGCTGGGAACCGAACACCCATGGCTCCAGCCCGCCTCTTCCCTGGAGCCCGCGGGGCTGAGCGCTCCCCCCAGCACCCTCCCACCCGCCCGCACCAGTGACTCCCGCCCCCCGCAGCTCTGGAGGGGTCCAAGCACTGAAACTGGGCTCAAAGCAAACTGAGCTGCCAGGAGAAACGGTTTCCTGGGTCTGTGTTCTTACCCCCATCGCAATGGGCCCGTCCCCACTGACTGCTGGGGCAGACACTAAAACAATCCCCAGTTTGGCAGAGGCAGGTGCACACATTAACACGCCCTGCACACGCCAGTCCCTGTAGGTACCTGAGGGGTCCAAGCACTGAAACTGGGCTCAAAGCAAACTGAGCTGCCAGGAGAAACGGTTTCCTGGGTCTGTGTTCTTACCCCCATCGCAATGGGCCCGTCCCCACTGACTGCTGGGGCAGACACTAAAACAATCCCCAGTTTGGCAGAGGCAGGTGCACACATTAACACGCCCTGCACACGCCAGTCCCTGTAGGTACCTGTGCATACACTAGCATACCCTTCACACACCTATCCCGCAAGCACGTGCACATGAACACACCCTCCTCATGTACATGTGCACACCCCACATGTACCCATCTCTATGCTGCTCCCATATGCACGTCTGCACACGCACACACACACACACATGCCCACACAGTGCCATGAACATCTTCTACCCAGAGTGGGTCCAATCATGGCTGGGCAGGTACCAGTCTCCATTTAATACGGCAGCCTGGGGCAGTTCTAGGGCACTGGAGCCCAAGTGGCTGGCATGTGGCCCCCGGCCAGGGATGGGCGCTGGGGTTCCAGCCTGTACACAGCCACAGCCAACGCCTGGGCCGTGCGCCCGGCCTGCTGCATGGGACGGAGATTGGCAGTGCCAGGAACATCCCCGGAA